ATCAACTAACCTCAACTCCTCAGATATCAATATGTCGTCGGGCACGTACAACTTAACTGATCAATCAATCAATCAATAAAAAATAAATTCATAAATCTTCAAAAAAAAAAAAAAGAAAAAAAAATCATAAGCCTTGTTTTACTAGCAGTCAGGGGCGGAGCCAAAAATTTCATAAAGTGGGAGGAGCAAAAATCCGACCTCTCGACCTCTACTACAACACATACATACTTAACCATCTAAACACTTCATCTTTGAGTAATATATATCTATATTATTTAGTTATATCTAAACATTTACTACACACACACACACACACACACACACACACACACACACAGATATATATATATATATATATATATATATATATATATATATATATATATATATATATATATATATATATATATATATATATATGCAAGGGTCCCCTATATATAAGAGCCGTAGGGGTGTAAATGAACCGAGTCGCTCGTGAGCGGTTCGGTCAACGCTCGGCTCGAACTCGGTCAAAATCGAGCTTGGCTCGAGCTCGAGCAACTCGTGGATTAAACGAGCACGAGCCGAGCTTAGGTATTGTAGGCTCGCGGCTCGACGAGCCGCTAGCGAACCTTATAATATATATAATATATAATATAATTATATTATATTTAGTATATAAAAATAATAATTAGGGGAGGGAAATTAAAATAGTTTAATAATTATATATGGATAAAAGTCATAAAACAAAGTAGTTTAAATTTTAAATCAAACAGGTCAAATTCGATATCAAAATTGAGCTCAAATTCGAACCTGAACTCGAGCTCGAGTTCAGGCTCGAATTCGAGCTCGAGCAGCTCGACAATTGCCAAGCTCGAGCTCGAGCTCGAGCAGTGCTATCATTAACGAGTTCGAGCATGAGCCTACCCAGGCTCGGGCTTGACTCGGCTCGTTTACACCCATAATAAGAGGTGAGGTGGGTGAGGGAGGGGACAGCTGCCCTCACTGCCCCCGTACTGGCTCCGCCCATGCTAGCAGTTGTAGAGTGCAAAGGTTCAAAGAGGGATATGGATTTAGCCTTATAGTTGGCACAAGGCATTTAAGGGCCTCCACATCTGTAGGTTAACGGCTCATAATTTACTTCGTTCACCAATCTTTAAGAATTATTGTGAGTTAACTTCTTATAAATAATTAAGGATCGATCTCTCAACTTCACCATCTATGCCACTAGTATACAGGATCCTAGGCAATGCTCGTTCTAATTTTAACTAATATTTAAACTTGATTTAGAAAATATGTGTTTAACTTGAATTGATTTATAATTATATAAAAGATCTTTTATACTTGTTAGTTGTATTTAATGTTACAACATTATTCTCAACCTAAAACCAAAATATTGATCACTCTCTTTTATGTATGACAATTTGTATTGGGTGAACTTTGTTGTTCTTGCTAATAGAGTTTGACTCTTATTCAAAAAAAAGTTTAATTCAGAACTCTTAAATTGATCTCTCGACCTTAAAATTACATTAGCAATTCATTACCACCAAGCTACTCGGCTATAACTGTTTTCATCCTTTCAAAAAAATAGGATTTAAAAAAAAAAAAATATATATATATATATATAGAGTCCAACGAAAGATCAAGTAAAAGAAGAACTATGGTATAAAAATTAATTTTGTAGACTTAAGTTAAAATTAACTAAAATAACACCAATATTTTAAAGTTTATACTAAATAAATTACAAAGTAATAATATTAAAATATTTTACTGAAACAAGAAGACAATCTTTGAATTGTATAATATGAGGAGATGAAGGGAGGACCACCACCGTTATGTTTCCTATTTATCTCTCGTTTTTTTTTTTTTTTTTTTTTTTCTTTTTTAATTTTATTTTTTCGTGATGAAGGAAACTCGTAGCCACAGGTTCAAGGTATGCATTGGATAATTTTTCTTTTTTAAGAAATGTAAACCGCAACCACTATCTCTTTTTCTTATTCCTTTCTCTCTCTTTTTGGGTGACGAGAATTGTATAATATTAGGAGATGAAGGGAGAATCACCACCATTATGTTTCCTATTTATCTTTTTTTTTTTTTTTTTTTTTTTTTGATGAAGGAAACTCACGAGGATGTGTACGGAGTAAATCTAAATCTATTTTAAGAGAGGTAAACAACGATTACTATCTATTTTTTTTTCTGAGTAACTAAGAAATTCACTGTCACTATCCATAGGTATGCATAATAACCAGCAAATCACATAAAATAGGTAAATCATACTAAAAAAAATCATATACGACGGACTCAATAAAAAAAATATTGATAAAAATTAAACTTATAACTTTCTAATACGATAATTATGCTCCAATCACAAAGCTATCCCTTTTGGAACACCTGTTTATCTCCATTGGCACGATGGGAATCTCAATGTGGTCCGCAAATGTATGTATTCTGTGTGATAGCGACGCCCATTTTGTCACAACGCAATCATTATTGTGTGGACCATGGTCCACACAACTTGTGTGGACCATATTTTGTCTATTGTAAAATAATGTATATTCAGTACAAAAATTATGTACATTCAGTACAAAAATAATGTACATTGTATTCAGGGGATGTACATTATTTTTGTTCTGAGTGTACATTATATTGTATAATGTACATTCAGTACAAAAATAATGTACATTTAGTATATTTAAAATGTACTTTTTATTATGGTCCACGTAACATTGTGTGGACCATGGTCCATACAATAATTTGTCGTCACAACGTGACACTTACCTTGTAATGACAAATTAATTAATATAAAAAAAAAAAAAATATATATATATATATATATATATATATATATATATATATATATATATATATATATATATATATAAAGAACCTGAGAGACAAAGCACAATAAGTGCTGAACGTGTTTTAACCCTTTCCATCGGAGTAGATGGATAGAGACAAATTTATTTATGTTTAGGATAACGTTTATCGCCGATTTGTTTTGTACTTTTGTTCGAATACAAAAGAAAAAGATGGACTTCTAAGAAGAATTGGGACCAGATGACTTCAACAATATCATCTATATATATATCAGTCTTATTCAGTCATGAGGATAAATAATAGACTTGTAAACTTATGGATGGCAATAAGTTGAGTAACATCCAGTATATAATCATCACAATTCACAAATCATAATAGGACAGATTCAAGTAGTTACTAAGTCGGATTCAAATAGACAAAATAATACTCCTCACGGATCAAGTAGTAATAAAAATTTAACTATGTACCTTCTATATACATGGAGAGAGTAAAAAGTGTAAATTAATCTCATTCATTCACCTGGATTGATTAACATGTAAAAAAAAAAAGAGAAAAAAAAAAAGAGAAAAAATACAATGATATTTATGTAATTATTACAATGTATTAGAAAACGATTGATGGTACATTCGTAGACAATTAAGGGTGTGTTTGGTTTGCACATGAGAATTGGAATGAGAATTGGAATCAATTACTTAGTAATGGTAATGAGTTTTGGTGAAGGTATTTTGCATGTTTGGTAGTAAGGTGGGATTGGAATGATTACCAATATTGATGTTTGGTTATGTATAACTCTATATTAGAAATAAAGGCTTTAAAAAACAAAAAACAAAAAAACAAAACAAAAAAAACAAAACAAAACAAAACAAAACAAAACAAAACAAAAAGTCAAGACAATTGATCCTAATATCAAATGAGTAGTGGTAAAACGTGGAGAGATATAGTGAAGAGGCGACAAATGAGGAAGGATAAAATGAAATGATACTTGTTTTTTATTAGGGAATAGAGTTTTTAATTGAAGGGGTAATCAAATCCCATAATTGTGTTTAAAAAGTTATCAACCGAACAATAACTATGATTTTGATTCTCATTCTTGATGTGTAAACCAATGAACCAAACACACCCTAATAATGTATACATGCGTGCACTATTAGTTATCCACAAATGCACTATCAAGTGATTCCAAATACACATAATAATAATTATTAAAATATCACTATTCTTTTTCTTAATTTTTAGCCATTGATCATCCTAAATAGACGAATGAAATTAATCCTTACTTTGACTTCCTCACTTGAACCTACCATATATATATGAATTTTAGAACAAGGAAATACTCATTCACACAAATATATTCTAATTTAAGAATGACTTAACTACTTAAGCTCTGTTTGATAGAGTTTTTTTAGAGTTTATAATTATAGATTATTTTGAGCTATAAATAAGCTATAATATGAAAAGTTTAAAATAATATCTTATTTTGAAACACTACTTGTTCAAAATAAGTTCATGACTTTTTATTATTAATTTACAAAAATAACACCATCTACCCTTCACTACTCAAAATCCTAATATTTTATTTTATCTTTTTATGTCTTTTTACACTTATTAGTTAATTCAACAATTACTTTTACCAAATACTTCAATTTCAATTAACTTATTAGGTACTAACTTTTCAACTAGGCGTACCAAATTGGGCCTAGTGAGTACCCTACTCGTTATTATCTCAATTTATGGATTAAAATTTTGATTAAAACTAAACGTATGTTTTAAATTTTGATAGGGGATTATCAAACTTTAATATATATATATATATATATATAATTTTTACATTGCATAATTTTATTTTTTATTTTTTATTATTTACCATTACATCCTGATATGACTATAAAATGACAATCTGGGTTGGATGAGATTGTCCACCTAATGATACTATTTCAGAGTCCACAGCAAGGGATAAAAGCATAAAAACTAGGGTGAAGAATGATATCAATTCATCATATACAATCATTCTTTTGAACATTTTTAGCATCCACAAATAAAGTAAAATATTTCCATAAATGCAAAGCAACCATTTTCAAGCTTAGTGGTGTCAAAACATGCAAACAGTTGGATTGAACTACACTCCATCTGTGTGTGTCATACCAGAAGAAAGATCCCTAAGAGGTTAGGGTTTCCAGATAAATCAAACCAGGAACTCATGAAACAACTGATTGCAAAACAAGTTTTCGATTCCATGAATGAGTCTAAGATACATAAAAGTATGCAAATGTAATATCAGAGAGACTATGTGAATGACAGTGCACAGAGCGTAATAACTCAACAAAGAAGTGGACAATATTATGAGAGGAATTTTTAGTGGAAGCATCTGTTTCAGGAATAAAATTTTGTTGCAAGACTTTAGTATAATAACCTGGGAGGTTTGGAGTTCCTGCAAAGATACCTGGTGTTGACAGTTTTTTGCTAGGCTTTCTATAGTATGGGAAGTCTGGAGTTTCCATGATGTGCTTTATGTTAACATTTTTTGCAGGACTTTCTACAGTAGCCTGGGAGGTCTGGAGCTCCGACCATATACTCTGGGTTCTTGGTGCATTCTCCAAGAGCAGCCCATCTCTCACAGTTTTCGTTTGAATCAGTGCAATTTCCCACAGATCCCACAATTTTGTCAAAGGAATCTACATGAATCCACTTTGTTGCTGACCATTTCTCACCTTCAAGCACGGGGCAGCCGCCATGGAGGCTAATAGGATCGGGGATGGCAGTTGGATGGAGACTGAAGAAAAGAAGTGCATCACCCTTCCGTGGCTTCACTGAATTATTCCCAGAGAAGGGAAAGCAGAGAGAAATAGCTCATCAGCTCTTTGCCAAAAAATCAGCATAGCAGTTCGTTCTATGTAATTATGACAGTGTTTACATCATTACTTGGCCTCACCTGCTACGCCTCTTTTAGCACAGTCAGACAAATCATCATCATCAGAAATCATTGATCTCCTACGAGGTGATTGCTGTAAACATTTACAAGAAATTATCAGGGAGGTTTCATGCATTTCATATTTTCAATAGAAAAACAACTTGAGGAACCAATTTACAAAAGGAGGAAGATATGAAGCAGAGAGCTTAACCATCTAAAGTCGTGTTTCATTGGAAAGTGCAATTTAATGCTTTAAAATAAAATTTATGGGTGCAAATTTATGGTATTCTTCTAACCAAACTAGAGTACTTCTCATGCATGGCCCGCAGGACACCTACCTAGTACATTTCCAACTCTAGGAATAAGGTGGTTGCCCTTATTGTATCTGTGCATATTTAATTCAACTTTCCAGCATCTCCATAAAAGAATCTGACTTAACATTCAAATAGTTTCTCTATTCATTTTCAGCATATGCTGGCCAAAGTCTCAAGTAAATCAAATCATACTGTAGAATATAAAGATGGGACAAATGCGACAATTAGCCAAGATCAAAGACGGGGGTACAAAAAAATAAAGAAACCTCTCCCAAGTCACAATGGACTGATTGACTTATTGATTATGCAAAATCTTGAATTTACCATGAGGATAAGTTTCTGCCCTTCTGGGTACATGTACATGATTGCTGATTGCAAGCAAGTTCTTACCAATTCCAAGCATGTCTGCCCCTTTTTTAATTTACAAGTTAAATGCTTGTTGGTTTCTGGCAATTTTGTATGATGTCAGATTATGGTGGATGCTCATGCTCTTACATATTTGAGGCATCATTGATACAGATACATTAACTCATAAAGATTTGAAGGGTTCCTTAGTTATTTTGAGATTCTGATTGAGCATTTTGGATGGGCAGTCAGGCCCTTTTTCCATGGAGAGATTAAAGAAAACCACTAAAGTTCATGCTAACATACTACTGCAATGATTTTGAAGAAAAAGTAATAACCAAACTAACCTCTGCATCGGGGAACACAGTTTCACCACCTTTTGCTACATCAGTTAGATACATGAGTACAGTGGCCATTCGGTGTCCACCACGAGCAATATTAACCTTATCAACAAAGTAATCATGATGTGATTCATACTTCTGCCCTTCCTCATAGCGTAGCACTTGTATGTCTTCTCCATTATCTGATGACAATAAAATATATAAGACCTAATCAAGTATTGTGAAATTATCAAGAATGAACAGTTAACTCCTCAATCTTGAACTAATGCAGCATATGTTATACATTTAAATGTTTGGCAAGAAGACAATGCTACCATTAACTAAAGGCATATAGACTATAGACTACAGAACTGAAATAATATATTGATGCTCCTCTAACTAACAATCCAGATATTATAGGGCCTCCTTATGCCCTTTAAAAGGAAAAATATCATTCATGTGGTAAATACCGGTGAACGCGGTGATGCTATATTGCTATATAATCTACTACGTAGTACTAGATTTCCTAATATCTCGATACATGGAGCCAATCAATTATCCAAGTTATTAACTGCCACAGCCGAAGCAAGTCAAGCAACAAGAAGGTATGGCTACAATAAAGAAATTTTTAAAAACTGAAATTTATGAATCAGTACAGATGTCACTCTGCGAAATTTGGTTATTCTCCAAGAATGAGCAGATATATCTAAAGCATAAAACCAGGGATCTAGAAATTTTCCTTAAAAAACTTAGTGGAATTAATAATGGAAAATTCAAAATTGGAAATTCCTTAATAGGAGCCACACCTTTTGGTAGAAAAGTCCAAGTGGCAATCTTCTCCTCTATCCCAGAAACAATTGGATCCTACAGCATAACAGGATGTGGAGATGTAAATAATCAGGAAAATCCAATTTACAGAATCCAAATGTATTAGTTTTTGCACCAAACTATTTCTTGTAGAACATCATCTTCATAACCAGGTTACAAGGTATCAGCTCATGATATTGCATGGTGGGTCCAGCCGCAAAACATAGAATCACATTCACTATAACTAGTAGAAGTTGAAATCCCTAGAAAACCATCAATTACTACCTTAGTTCTTTATTGTGATTATAAAGGTGAGTAGTGACTATTGAAAGAAAAATGTGTGATTAGAATATGGTAGATTAAGCATGCATAGTTGTTAAGTCAATGATATGCATATTCATATAACTTTACTTGCCCTTTACTCAAAAACCAATGTCATACTTAAATTAAGGATCCAACACACATCAAAAGGCATTGTACTTGCATTTCAAAATTGCTGGAAAACACATCAAAGAGGAACTTTAAGTCTTTAATAATTAAAATGCTTTCTCTTATCCCGTGCAGATATACACACCTCAGATCAATAGGTAGGATTTACACTTAGGATAACAACAATTTCAAAGAGATAAACATGGACAGAAACACAGTATATGGACCTAATTGTTATCAATACATAATAAAAAAACGCAAGAATAAATTACTACATCCATATAATTATTACAACAAAAATTTAAAAACAAAAAGATCTGTAGAAGCAATTCAAACAGATTTCAAAGATCGAACCTTAGCTTTACGAATGAACATTCCAGAGCTAGTCCTAACTTCACTGAGTTTACTCTTTCCCGACTCATTATCTGCAACATACGATCTTTTCAGCTCCGATTTTGCCTACCACAAGTCAAAATGCCAAAGACAAAATTCAGCTTCCAACGCAATTAGATCTCACAAATTCATAAACATCAACTTCGAAACTAAACCCCAAAAAAAGAAGACACGGAGCAATAATCAACACTCACGAGAGATATCATATGATTGCATTCTTCATCCGTAAGGAAACCTTCATACACAAAAGCTCTGACCAAAAAAAAAAAAAAAAAAAGTCAAATTTAGCTCGGTTGGTGAAAAGTACAACAAATTTTCGAATTTCATGTTTTAGTTCTTAGAATTTCTGGAATTTTGGATCTTTAAGCACCTCGGTTTCCATGAAATTTGCTTGACTTTAGACGGATTGACTATGAAGGAGCTTGAAGATTCGCGCGCGACCGATGCGATCACGACGAAAGAGAGAAGAACAGCGTAGTGCCAAAACCTAACCATCAGCTCAAGTAGAGGACGAAAATGGGGAAATTTCAGCTAAATATTTTGAAAATTTTTCAGTAAAATTGCAGATATTGAAGAACTCAGCCGATATGTACCAAAGAAGCTCGGTTGAGTATCAGTTGCGACGTGCCAACGTTTCTCATATTATTATATCATAATCATAATTTTCTTCCTATAATTTTAATTATAAAATTTGAACGTATTATAATTCTTTAGAGTTCAAATGACTAAAATAGGTAAAAATTAGATGAAACAGTATCAATATGGCCAGCATTTTATTCCTTAATTGGGTCAGCCCAGTGCAAATGTGACTTAGTTTGAGTATGATACATTGATACGTGCTTAAAGGTTCATCATACAAGTAAGACATGGTCAAGACATCTAAGTAAAATTTGATAGCCAATAACATATTGGACAAAAGTAGAAGTTGTTGGTGATAATGAACCAAAATTGATTTAATATCCGATTAGTTCGTACCAACCATAACGACCTATTTCAAAATATCTAAGTGACCGAGAAGTCCGTACAAACTCAAAAATTGAACGAAGTTAGGACCAAAAACTACACCCTAGTGGTCCACAAGCACCGAAATGGTGCAGCACGAATCAATGCATAATGCATATAGCATTGACTCGTGCTCACCAAATCCATCGCACGAAAGGAGCTCAAAAACTTAATTCACTAATTAAGCTTTCAATGCTTAATTACATTTAAGCTTTCATGCAACTTTCGTCCATGCATCATGCATCATTCGTCCCAAATTCAAAAAATAAATTTTTATATAAAACTTAATTCACTTAAGCCCAACTTTCGTATAAGTTACGAATCGTGCTAAATTTTAATTAAGTCATAGAACCAATTTCAAAAAAAGTCATAGTCGGAGGACCATTTTAGGAATTAACTCTCTAGGAATATATATATTCTCCGTGGTTGATCAAACAAGCAAAATGTTGTACCCAAAGTATAAACCAACCTAACTAGTAACTATACAAATCCTGCATGCCTAAAGGGAGTGTAAGTATAAGCTTTGTAATCTGCTTTTTTTGTTATCAACACAGCAGACATAAGACATCTGCAAGTATATACAAAGCATTGACAATGTTTGAAGTCCAAAAAAAAAAAAAAAAAAAAAAAAAAAAAAACTCCAGAAATCATTGGAGAAAAATTCAATTTGGTCGCCTGTCCTGTTTGGATGGTTAAAATTCTCTCCTTCCAAGTTTAGGCAGAAGAATCATAACATGAGAAGACACCATGGGGTATGAATTTCCTAGAGAGCTACATTAATGGCACTTGGACCTGCAGGTCTGAATCAAGAAGAGTGAGAGTAAATATGGCGAGAAAATGCGGTCCGGTCACTATTGTTCGGTTTCCCATGTAACCTCGTGGATTATCTCGTTGGGGTCGATCACGCTCTTGGGCGTGGAGGCGTTGGAGCTCTTGGGGGTGTCGCTCGAGCTTTTGGGCGAATCGGCTGGCGAGTCGAACAGGGAGTCATCGTCGAGAAGCTCTAGTTGGAATGCCCTTAATGTAGGCCGGGTTTGGAACTTCTTGTTGTCCGTTGAGATGGTCTCCTCACCTTTGAGCATTCTTTCAACCTACAATCACATGCAAAAACGCATCAGTTTAAGCTTTTAGTTGAGAAGGGAGACTAAGAGATGGGCACAAATAGAGTAAAAACGGTTTCGTGACTTAAAAGAGCGTGCCTTGCCCATTGAAGGTCGGTCCGTGGCAGACTGCTGTAAGCACAAAGAAGCTACCATAGCCATTCGATTCATCTGCTCGTAATCAAAGTCACCTCCCAATGCTGGATCGGCCAACTCACTATAACTTTTCTTGAGTAGCAAAGGTTTAGCCTGCAGACAATAGTTAAATTTACGTTTACTTGAATGTATAGTAACGCAATTGAAGCATGTACTCCATCTCAACTAAAAGTCTAAGCTGATAGTTGGATTGCACATTAATGGTTATATGCTCAACAAACGCAACCCAACAACTCGAGGAGTTGGTAAATGGGCTGCTAGTGTAACTATAAGTTCAAAGACTGAATCTGGATTAGTCTTGCAATGGCGGGGTTACAAGAAGCTATACGGGAAAAAAGTGTTATAGAATATATTTGATATATAGAATCTCTATAGATTAGGCAGTCTTAGGGATTTAGGTAGGTAGGGCATATGGAAACTTGTTTCCTATTCGTAGTCTTCTAGCACCTATTTATAGGGCTTTGTATTCTCTTTTTTAGAAGACAGTTTGAGACAATATACGACAGCACATTCAAAAACTCTATAGCTAGCGTAGATGAGTAACGTACGTACCCACATCACAACGCTGTTATTAGCTTCGTCCAGAGCGGGGCGTCCGGTAATAATCTCCAACAGCAACACTCCAAAGGCATAGACATCGGTTTTTTCATCAACAATTCCATGCATGAAGAACTCTGGAGGGAGGTATCTGACATAACGCGTAACGAGCTTTTAAGGTCTGACGAAATGAAAAATGCTTTGAATGAGTTGTAAAAGAAAGGTCTCGTTTATACCAACCCGAATGTGCCTTCAAACTGAGATACAGTAAGGTGACTCCACTTATCAGGGAGCCATTTTGCGAGCCCAAAATCAGATATCTACATTAAACTAAAATTTGAGCATCAAAAGTTCATATTACTATGGTCTTTACCAGAACTTTAGATCATCTGTGGCAAGAATAGATGCCTATCTTATGATGCTTTGTAGTATAAGGTTTGCAAAAACACATGGAGAAAAGTGTAGCGTGTGAAGATTAAATTGCACAAAAAAAATAAAAATTACTCCATTAGCTTAGGTACTTGTCTCCAACGCACTTGAAAAGCTACTAGTCAAATACAATAAACGGGGCTTTTTTTTTGGGTGACGAGGGAAACCCGCAGCCACTACCCGAGGGTGTGTACTGGATAAACCCCGCCTTATGACCCTAGACTGCAAAGGACCACAAGGAGGTAAACCAGCCTAAGTTGCCCCGCCTTGTGACCCTAGCCTGCAAAGGACCACAAGGAGGTAAACCAGCCTAAGTTGCCCCGCCTTGTGACCCTAGCCTGCAAAGGACCACAATGAGGTAAACCAGCCTAGGTTGCCCCGCCTTGTGACCCTAGCCTGCAAAGGACCACAAGGAGGTAAACCAGCCTAGGTTGCCCATAGCTGATCGGCTCAAACCAAGAAGGCCTATAGGCTGGTCCCACTAGGAGTCGAACTTTTAACCTTGTGGTTACTAAGTCAACAGCCTCTCACCAACTTGGCTGGGGTTGCCCCCAAACGGGGCGTTTTTCATTTTATGATCTGTTGGTTCAAAGAGATACCTGAGCCTCAAAATCTTGCGTCAGCAAAACATTAGCAGCCTTGATATCTCTATGTATAATTCTCCGTTGACACTCCTCGTGAAGATATGCAAGGCCTTTGGCAGTGCCTAAAGTGATTTTATACCTCCTGCCCCAAGCTAGTTTGCCCTTCTGATCACCTGTGAATAAAACGAAATTATATTCAGTGACTCAAAAATTTAGGTGGCAACACAATTTCTTGGAAGCAAGAAGATAACGTATTGACCATTCAGAAGAGTTGCTAAGCTCCCATGAGGAGACAAAGGCAGAACAAGGAACATTCCCCCTTCGACTCCGTAGCCAATAACACTAGCAATGTTGGGGTGACTGACATGTACCAAAATTCCAAGCTCCGATAAGTAGTCCGATGTCATCTCCTCGGGGCTTCCCCTCGTCAGCTTTTTAACCGCCACTAACTCTCCATCTTCCAAGTGTCCCTTGAAAACTTCGGAATAGCCTCCCGTCCCAATCACATTCTCTAAAGAATATTGTGTCATCAGAACGCATTTTGGGTAAGCCAGGGATCCACAAGAACGTAAGATAAACTAGAAAGAAGGCAAAAACTAAACGAAACAAGAACAACGGGGTTTAGAAGCTTTGAGATGACAGATTCCGAGCAGAATATATAATCTTTTGAAACAAACATTAAATGAAGCAATGGAAAAATATAATAGTGTACCACTGCTAAAGTTGTCTGTAGCTTTCTGGAGCTCGGGGAGGGAGAAATTCTTCCAGGATGTCCCAAGGAAATGAGGAACAAGATTGACGTCAAGTTGAGATGTCTGAGGAACCAGATTGACATCGATTTGAGATGGCAGAGGAACCAGATCGACATCCATTTGAGACGATGGCAGCATAGGTTTCCTAGTTTTCTTGGAAAATATCCTTATGGAGTTTAGAGAGGGAATAGTAGGATGGAACGTATGTAAGCTCATTCCCACGGGTCCTTTTTTAAGTTTCCTAAAGAACCCATACAATTGGGCATGAGTTTTCCCGTCTGCATTAGTAAGCACGGTGTGGAAAAATCCAAACTTTGAAGAAGGGGATCTTTCAGTCTCTGCCTGTTTCCCGGTACCATCACCCAAAATCTTGTCTCTATGCCCCTCCTCGAAAAACTCTAATTCATCATCCTCCCCGATGGTTTCTAAGGTTGTCTTGTTGTGATCGATGACATCTTCTGCAATCAAATTCCCCTCTTCATTGATTTCTATAGTAGGATCTTTATCTACACGATTCTCCTCCAGGTTTAGGCATTGCATCTCTAAGAAAGCATTGTTCAACAACTTGCTGTCAGCGTATAAAATCCTATTCCATCCTTTTTCAGCACCAATTACCAAACAAGAAAACCGAGCAAATGGAAAGAAAGATACAACAAGGTAATTAAAAATCGAATTCTACATACCTTCAGCAGAGAGGGATATGGAAGTGCAGAATAGTAGTTTTGGTTCAATCTCAATTATAACTTCTTCATTTTCTTCAGCAGCATCGCCCGTGCCCTCACTGTCAATATTCCCACCACTCAATCCAACTCATTGGTTAATCAGCCAAAGAATGAAAAAACAATCCAAATTTACCATTTCTAAATCAGAAAAACTTGCAACTTAATCAAAGGGCATTCATATCATATCCAAATTATAAACATTCCTATAGCCTAATCAGGAGAAAACTGGTTTAAAAGATCCCAAATCTCAAAGGCATCCAATTTTAAGATCAGAATTTCAAGAAAATCAATTCTGGGCTCTCCAATTTCCCCTTTTTCTTCATACATAGTAATAATAATCCAACATTATGTCAAAAAACCAGCCAAAATTTATAGAAAAAGGCAGCAATTTATATACATAGATAGATAGATACATAAGAATAATGAATGAATGAAATCAAGGGTTCGTTCCAATGCAAGAAGAAGAATTTATATACCATGGAGATGGAGAAGTAGCTGAAGATTCAGTATTTCCCATGGCTCCTCAAGGGCAGGGAAAAGAAGAAACAGGGCCTATCCTTCCTCCTATGAAACAAATTTTTGTTTTGGTCACAGGAGAGAGGAACAAGATTGGGGTTTGCGACGAGGTGGGAGAGAAATAGAGGAGAGCCAGAGACGGAAATAGCGGCTGGCATGGCATGCGAGCAAGCTTTCATGCATGGATGATCAAGATTTCCTTGAAGATTCTAGGATCTCCGATCCTTGCCCAAAATTCGGCCTTTCTTCCAACATTGAAATTCCAAGGAGTGAAGGACCATGCATGGTGCCATTCTTGATTCATTAAAAAAAAAAAAACACTTTTTTTTTTTTTTTTTGTCTTTTTTTGTTTTAGCATGTCCTAAGTCAATTGTTATACTGTGTATCAAGTTTCATATTGCATTGTGAAGTTTGGTCCAAAATTATTTGTTTGTAATTAACATATTATGTACTTATAGTTAACACAAAATATGATAACATCATATGCATAAATTGTTAACGGCAAGTATAAAATATGTTAGTTGCAGATACATAAGATGTTGGTTAAAATCTTATGTGTTTATAGTTGACATATTTTATATCTTTAGTTAATGGTTTATATGTCTATAATTAACATGTTATGTGTTTGTAGTTATTACGTAGTATTTGATATGCCTTCAATTTATTTATAGAGACAAAAACAATTAACTGTATGTACAAAATGTATCAATACAAAATATAAAAGTCATTTTTGAATCAGGGTCTATAATGCAAAGTAGACCCTGGTCCATAGTATAATTTGTCGTCCTCAACTGTTATGCCATCGACCCGGCCTCCGGGTCCACCTTGCAATATGGACCCAGGTCCAAAATGACGTAGTTTGCGCGTGTGGAAATAGCAGTGCCATTAGTGGCATCGTTTCCTCAGCTAATGATTTTTTTTTTAAAAAAAATAATTATTGAAAACAACTCAGCGAGTAAATATTAAGTTTTATAATTGTGAATATAATGTTCTTTAATTGTGAATATAGAGTTTTGTAATTTTGTATATTGAAATCTTTAATTGTGAATATAGAATTTTGTAATTTTGTATATTGAGATCTAAAATTGTAAATATTGATTTTTATTTTTGCAAATTATACTTTTTTTTTTTGAATACTACTGGCTCTATTACAATGTAGTATCTGTTCATGTAGGCTCAAACTCACAACCTTCTAAATGAAAATCCCATTGTTGCAAACTATACTTAATTCACTGAAGGTCTAGGAATTGAATGTCTTGAACTTGTATATTCTTCCTTTTATTAAGTTTGCAGAACCCATTTCAGAGAGTTCATTTTCTAAGTTTTCACTGACCTTCCTTTGTTCGGTTTGTTGTTTTCTTTTTGCTTCTTCAACTTTTCCTTTCAGAAAAGAAACTTCAATTTCCTTGTCGACCAATATTGATTCATTGATTGATACATCCAGGCTTCTTCGTCTCCAACCAGAGACGAAGAAGCTCTTTGTCTCTGACCATGGATTTTTTCGTTTCCGGCAGGATCTGTTTTTTTTTTTTTTTTTTTTTTTTTTTTAATTAACTATTTTTAAAAACATTTTAAATTTGAGTTTGACCGGTTAGAAACCTGCAAATTAGATAAATTGTTTGAAATTGGTTAGTTTAGAGATTTAACTGTAGTTTTTTTTTTAGAATCAGGGACATAATTGTATTATCATGTGTAGTTCGATGGCCTATTTAATTCTTTTTTCTTTATTTTTTATATTTATTTTGGTGATGATGGAAACCTACAATCATTACTTTGATAGTGTGCATTGGGTAAATTATATTCATGTGATAAACCAAGGGTCTTGTGGTCCATTGGTATCCGATTGTTTTTTTTATGTGGAAGGTCTAGGGTTTAAGCCTCAATGTAGGCGTACATTTTGTATATGTGGGTATCCCTTCCTTTGTAATATATAAAATAAAATAAAAGTATTCATGTGTAAAAACTATAAGGGTAAATTTTGTATATGTGGGTATTCCCTTCCTTTGTAATATAAAAAAAATAAAAATATTTATGTGTAAAAACTATAAGTAAGGGTAGATTTTGTATATGTGGGTATCCCCTCTCTTTGTAATATAAAAAAATAAGGGAGAAGTGTCAAATAGACACACATACTACTGTTAAGTGCTCAATTTTCACCAGGACTATGTGGTCTAATGGTACTCGGGTTGGACTTCCATTTGGAAGATTATAAGTTCGAGCCTCAGTGGAGGCGTTATTGGTTCTTTGTGTTTCAGTAGGTTGAGAAAGTATATGAACAGATACTACAATGTAATAGTGCCAGTAACTTTCAAAAAAAAAAAAAAAATCTAATTAACCACACTTATGAGCTAAATTTGTTCAATTGACTTTTTACAGGTTGCTAACAGGTTACCAATTCAATTATTAAAAAAATAATAATTATTAAAAAATAATTTTAAAAAAAAAAAGAAGAGGAATTTCAGCCACCGGCTGTCCGACGAAAACAGCCGGCGGCTGAGTACTTCCCCACATTCCAACTTTCTTCACTGCAGCTTCCAGTCTCTCCACCGACTTCTCCTCTTTCCCACTCATCTCCAGCCCCCCACCACCCTCTACACGTTATAATTTTCACTCAAAAACCAATTCAACCACTACTGCTTATATACAATAATGCATGCATGTATATATGATTCGATTCACTCAAACATATATTATATCATATCATTCATTCTTACTTGCAGTTTCTTGAAATCTGAGCGGTCCTCGCCGAACAGTCACGACTGTCTGTGAAATACTCAGCGGTTGGCTGTCCTCGCCAGATAGTCCGTGGCTGAAATTCTTTTTTTTTTTGTATTAATTTTTAATTATTTTTTAATAATTGAATTGGTAATCAGTTAGCTACCTGCAAAAAAAGTCAATTGAACAAATTTAGCTGGTAAGTGTGGTTAATTAGACCTTAATTTAGTTCGTGGTGGAAATTAAGCACTTGACAATAGTAAATGGGTTTATTTGACACTTCTCTTAAAAAATAAACATATTCATGTGTAAAAACTATAAGTAAGGGATGAGAGTGTACGGTCACTCAAGTCAACCAAACTAAGACTATTTTATTTGATATTTTCCCTTTGTTTTATTTACATACTATTCTCTTTCTAGTCCAAATAAGATAAAATAATTAATATTCTTGATTTATTTTTTTCTTATATTTTCAACTAACCCATCAAGAATCCCAAACGCACTATTGAGGATTGAGTGTGACTTATATTTATTGAATTTGAACAACAATAAAAAGATAGGTGAGGTGCAAGTGGACTTCTTTACACTTAATACACTCTATTAAAGGAATAAATAAAGATAGTGCAACAATTTGGCCAATTTAAAGTTTTTGCACCATGTCAAAGTAAGTTGTTATATCATACTTTTTAAAGGCAAAAAAGGGGGAAAAAAAATTTAAAGAAGGCTATTTAGACTTTTTAAAATGCTACTGACTTTATTACAATGTGTCTCCACTAAGGCTCAAACTCACAACCACCTGTCCTCTCATATGGGAGTCTAATCCGGGTGCCATCTGTGCACAAAGTGCTTGACATTAAATATTTTACTTAATAATGTGATATTTGACGAGAAAAACTTGCAGTCACAACCAAATAATGTGCACTAAATAATATTCATCTCACTTATGTGTAATAATAGCTCGCACACCACACAAAAGAAGTAAATCGCACTAAAAAAATCTTATGTGACGAGTTCAACTGAAAGAGTGTAGACAAAAATCAAAGTCAGTGAACTTCCAGTACAATAATCATGTTGCTCCACACAATCACCTATTCGGATCATTAATTTATATTTATTGAGTTTCTCTAATCTAGTAAAAGTTACTTTTGTATAATTGCATCTGATGGTAAATGTTTTGATATTATTTTTCTTGATTCATGTCACATCAAATTATTATCAAGTTACAAGCTACCTAATCATATTGCATAAAAAGATTTTTTTTTTTTTTAAATGTTATAACTAAGTACCTTCAAAAAAAAAATGTTATAACTAAGTATTTTGTAGGATAATTTTACGGTGCGGGAGTAAAATAAATCATTGTTTTATTATAAATATATTTTTTAATGTGTTAGAAGAGATAATTCTAAACTCACCATTTAACATAACTTCGTCTACTTAATTTATTAATTTATGTGAACAAAGGTCTAACATCTGTGATTCATGTTCAGTTGAGTTATCATGATTTACATCATCCCAAATGTTTTGTCGGGTGGGAGTGTTGGGGACCCTTAAGGTTGGGGTTCAGCCTTTTGGAAGAATGATTATTATATCAATCCTTGCATGGGTAACTTAATTGGTCACATGAGTGAAATTTGAGAACAATGATCCGTAAGAACTGAGAACAATGATTATTATATCATCTAACTTATTCCAAACAATATAATTAATGCAAATTACATTATACGATAATATAAATAACATTTCTTTTTATTATGAAATAAAAATATATATAGAAAATTTCAAACAATTTTTTTCTCTCTCTTAAACACAACATCATAAAAAATTGAACAGAATATTTGTTTGTCGCTATTATTATAGAATTATTGGTATGTGTACAAGGCAAGCTAGCTAGCATATGTTACTATGATGGAGACAATATTTCAAACAATAAGATTACCATGAATATTCTTCTATTTAGATATGTATGTATGTATGTTGAACCATATGCACCCAAGAAACTAATAATTGATGATAATAATCACCCAAAAAAAAAAAAAACACTAAAGTTCTCAATTATTAGACATTTACAACTCCTAACCTCTTTATACATAGCTAACCAACACAATTGTTAGACACATAGAAATGCCCGATAGCTAACCGCCTCCGAATTTTCAATGTCATGACGCTCTATAATGATTATAATAGGTTAAATCTCTTTAAATTAGGTCTTCTCTTTGAGCTCGGGTACGGTTGATTTCCCTAGGGATAACAATGGGGCAATGTCAGTAGGGTGTATACCCCTCATCTCCATCCTCATCCCCGCTCCCTAGCTATTGAAAAATATAAAATTTTCCTCATGGCTTAGGGATAGGAAATCCCCTCCGCAATCAAATTAATAGTCAAATTAGTAATTTAGTACGAATTTTTTAATTAATGTATATATGAAGAGGCGGTAGGGGTATTCTCGTTCTTGTCCCTATCCCTGTTCTCCAAATTCGGTCCCTATATCCGCTCACGTTAAAACCAAGATTAAGGATCCCCACATAATCGGAAAGAAATT